GAAGTCAAAATCAAAGTACTTTATTAAAATTTTTAATTTTCATATAGTATTATTATTAATAAAATAAAATATTTTGTAAAGAAAATGTTATATTTGAAGATAATGTGGATAATTCTTCAACATCTTATACAGCAGCAAATATTTTAGAAATGCTATTAGAAGACAATAATGAAGATAACGATAATAACGATAATAGACAACATAATTATATATATATTTTAGATGATGATATTTATTGTTAGTATTAAAATTATACGTATTAAATATTATTATTATACTGTACTAAACTAAACCAATTATTAACAACTATTTCAGGCAACAATAATAAAGAATTTCAATTAAGTATTTGTTTATTGAGCTTAGATTTGTCACTAATATTAAAATTATTCAAAAAATGATTAATGAGATCTGAAATTTATATAATTATTTAAAAATTATCGTTATATTATTATTAATTTTTAATTTGTTATTGTTGTACTATATATTAAAATAAGCCAACTCATCAACAGCGATTTCAAGTAACGAGTATGATAGAGAGATTCAATCAGGTATATCGAGTATTTGTTTATTAAGCTTGGATTTATTATCTAATTTTTAATATATAATTTAATCTTATTAAATTTTAATTTGTTAATATTTATAAAAGAAAAATCTAAAGGAAAACTACGAGAATATGAAGCTAGTCAAATTCCAGCAGAATTTGATAGGATGAATAATATTTTAGAAATATGCAACTGGCTGGTAAAACATCCATCTATATTGCAGTTAGCCAACCAAATGCATATGGCATCCTCATCATCAATGGAAAATATTGGAACTTTTAATGAATCGTCAATGCCTTCATCTGCAATTTCATCAAAAATAAATAATAATAAAGTAAGATTTATGATATATTCTATTTTCTTTTTTAAAAAAAAGAATATAAATAATAAAAATAAATAATAAAAATAATTTTTTTTAGGATAGTACACATATATGGGATGAAGAAATAAAATGTCTCTTTCTTAGAACAAGATTTCCCCCAGCACATGTATCGATAAATTTGTTAAAAAAATATTTGGGTATCCACCCTATTCTAAAGAAGGAACAGAGATTTAAACTAAAACAAAAAATACATTAAGTGATTTTCGGTACAGACTTAATCAATCAGTATTGGGTCATGTTAAACATTATAAAAAAATACAAGAAAGATATATATATATTAAATATATACGTATATATTATAATTGATATCATATCTGATATTTGTATTATTTAATTTTAGACAAGGTGCAGCATTATTAACAAAAGAAAATATTAATAATTATATTAATGAAAAGGTAACAATGGATGTTCTTAATAGTGTTACAGAGTAGTAGCCTTCTTAATTTACTCTATAACGACGACACAGCACAGGGAATCCTTTCGTAG